TAACCTGACTGAATAGAATGGCACTTTCCATACTAACACGGCGCCATTTTGCTTACACTATGGGCTAGTTTATTTCCATCAGACAACATAATAATGAAGTTCATCTTATTCGGTAACTGCAGGATAATTCTGTAAATTACCATAACATTGAGAGATTGGAATTATATCTCTTTCAACAGAGAAACATATTAATTAAACCGCTTTGTTAAATCCACATGAAATGCAAGTTTGTTGTTGTCATATTCTTCTTTTGCTTTATTCGACATTGTAAATATCGGAAGCAGACGACATGTATGTACATCTGTAGTTATGCACATACCCCTTTGCTGAAAATGGATTTGTCCTGAAACTGGAAATGGATTTCGAGCTTGTCTGTCTATTATATTGAAAACTTCCATTAAGCATGAAACGGATGACAGTGTTAGGGCTATTCTGCTCAGTGAGGTTAGAAAATATAAATCAATAAATGAATTGACTAAGTTTCTTGCCCTTTTTATCACATTAAAGGTTTTCATTTTTTAATCAATAGGGGGTACAAACAGACGGGTGAATATAGTCAGACTATAAAAGAGAAGGTCAGTAACTTCCAAATACTTTGTTCTACCCATGACCCTCAATTGTATTCTGCTATTTCCATCTTTAAAGGCATATGACCAACCAGTGTGAGGAACTACATATAGCATACTTAAATAACATCCATGTATCAAACAAATATTTTTAGTCAGTATCTAACTTATTTCTGGAAATTTGAATTTTGATGTCATGCAGTCTTACTTTAATGTGTATTCTTATTATTTAACACATTCAAATGATTTCTAATATGATTTTGGCATTGATGTGTGGGTCCATGTTTTCAAACTGAGTCTCGCTTGCATGGAATGTATGTGTAGTGAAGAAGAAAATGTCTCATTCTTCCAAGAAACAGGACTCCTAAAGTTGAATTGAGTTAATGGTAATTAAACACTTATTTTTGCATCTATTTTCAGTAATTGAAGAAGGAATGTATCATAGAGTCGCAAACATGGCATATGAAGCTCTTATCACCAGAATGTAGCACTGTACTGGCAGACAAAATTCTCTAAATTTGCATGTTTCAGAGCCTGTAGCTTCAGTTTGGTACAATGCAAAATAGTCACTGATGATAAATATAAAAATATCTCTAAAGCAAGCCATAGAATATGGTCATATGCCTTAAGAGACTGAAATAGTAGAAGGAAATTGAAGGTCATGGGTAGATCAAAGTATTTGGAAATTACTTACCTTCTTTCGTATATACACCACTCCCACAATAACTCGCGCCCGGATAACTCGTGAACCCCGCTTATAATGTGGAGTTTGGCATGGCTCCCAATTTTTTTAAAAGAAAATATATTTTAAAATATGTTGAACGTGAAAAAAGTAGTAATAAGAAATGGTAAATTGGTAAATTGAACCTTGATCTATAGCTCATTTTTATCATCGAAAATGGTGATTATTGCCCAAAAAGATAAAATCCATATTGTGAAATTTGCAGTTTCTAATAAGATATCACATATTATGTTATTTTTTTTTTAATAGAAAAATAGTTGTCAATACACTGTAAATAAACAGCACTCAATGAAAAATTCCTTGTAAATGCTAACATGCGGCAACAGATAATGAAATAAATGCCAATTAAATGTCTTGCAAGGTGAAATAAACATTATAATCCTTTAATTTCGTCTCAACACTATAATCGAAACATACATATTCTCTTATATGAAAACATGAAAATAATCAGTCGACCGTCCCATCGAAAACGAAAACCCGTGAGTACTTCCATGAGAACATCATTACATGCCGGCTTTGTTTCGATCAACAGCTTGGGGAAGTGTTTGTTGCAATAAAAAGAATCAATTAATAAAGACCTGTGTTGTTTTATCACTTTGAATATGTCTTTTGTATCAAATCAAACAAGGTAAGTACAATAAAATAAAGTTCAAAGGCATGCCAATCGGAGCAAGCGCTCTTGTATTCATTACCATTATCAAATTTAATTTCACTTGACCAATCGAAAATATTTTCACATTTTATGTATTAACATCATTAAAGTATATAATATCAGTAATGTATCTTAATCATTTGTAAATGTGACCATGGAGAGCAAAGGAATTAAGCGAAAGGCGTACTTAGTGACTGAAAAGCTATTCATCATAAATGGTGTTCATAATGATGAAGCGAGATCAAAAATTTGCAATGAACTAAAAATTGCGGAGTCGACATTTAGAAGTTGGCTTAAGGATGAGCTGAAATTTCGAAATTACTCACATGGTGTTGATTCAGATGAAGGGATGAAACGAAAATGAGCACGGACTGCACGCGATAACGAATTAGATGATGCATGGTTCCCACAACAACGTGTCACAAACCGCAAGTGTTATCATGTTCTAATTTAGGTCGTTTTAAATTTTTAGACTCATTAATTTCATGTTGGTAATGGTTATCCCTTGTGAATTTTTTTTTTTTTTTTTCCATTTTACGTCTACTGCAATAAATATCTACACATTGTTCGATCGACAATTTTTTTCGAAATGTGTCGGTCTTTCGTATTTAAAAAAAACCGTCTACTTTGGATCAAACAATAAAACTAGAATGTATATCATTCACAGCAAAAATTAGTGACATAGTACACAGCGTGATGTCGTACATGTGCTAAGCGAATGGAAACCACATGGAATAATGTTTGGATGATCAATATACTGCAAGTTATCCTGAAATTAATGTTACTTGGTGATGAAAAAATTAAACAAAGTGCACTAATATGAATAGATATTTATTCACTGTTGATCTTAGCACGATTATTGAGTATTCAACACTGTAACATGCCACGCCACCCTCACCCACCTTTTGCCTATACGTCGATCCCTTTGTTAGTTTTGTTGTTTGTTTTAGGTCCCTCGATAACTTGCGCCATTGCTTATATCGCGGTCGATGTTTTTGGACCCCGATGTCCATGAGTTATCGATGGAGTGGTGTAGTTTGATAGAGAAGGTCCAACATCAAGCTTGCGTCGAACACCTGTACAATAAACATGTGAATTTGATTTGTTGGCATGAGAAGTGTGGATTCTGGCTACTGCAGTTTTAGGTACTTGAGTACTGTATACTGTTCTGTATTATCATGGGTACTATATTATCATAGTGACATACATGCCCTTACAAGGTTAAGTTGCAATTTTATTCCATGGTTGCCAATATGGACCAAATTGACAAAATGTTGCTTATAATTATGCTCTTGTAAATACGTAAGAATACAATAACAGTTGAACTTTCTTGAAATCAGTAACATTTCAGTAATAATAATAATAATAATAATAATAATAATAATAATAATAATAATAATAATAATAAAAATAATTTTTATATCTATATTTCTTTTCCCACATTGCATTTAAAATTCATATAAAGTTAAGTAATTATTGATTTTAATTTGTAATGTGGTTATTCATGGATTTCTACTTTAATTACATTTATGTATTTAATTTGATCATTGGATCTTTACATTTTAAACAAGGAATGCAAAATATGGTACACATAACTAAATTGTCACATAACAAATATCTGCAACCATGAATAGTTTTAAGTTTTGAATTTTGGTACAGGTGTAATGATGATTCAAAATTTAAAGGAATCTTTAAAAAGATCTTTATTGTTTACAAATTAATCCATGATTTGTTCTTATGGACTCTGAAACTGATACTGCGAGGATAGATTATATTATAGTATATAATCAACCCCTCACCTATAATACTATTGACTGGTGTTTTAGGAGCTGATATTGCCTGTTCATTAAAACCTGCAAAAATCTGTTGCCACTTTTGTCTACACATATCGGTGTAGATTTTCTATATTTACTGATAACTTTTATGGCTATTAATCTACTATTAGCTGAAGGTTTTTTTGGCTATATGTACATACTATATCCAAATCAAATCCTATGTTTTGCGACTTGTAAATCCACCTAGAAGAACACCAACCATCTGTCCTGTGGCTATTTTATATTTTGCGCTAGATATGGCAGGTTTGTTCTGGAAAGATTTTCAAGAAGCAAAATTGCACATTTTAATAAACAGGTGACATCAGACCAACATATCATCAGGAGGGATTTATTGGACTAAGTATAGTATACTACTGTATTATCACAGGCTCTTTATTATCATGGTTAAAGGTAAAGGGATTTTCTGATTGATTTTGGAGGTATGCCATCTTGCAGTTGTTTACAGATATAAAGATGAAGCAAGTAAGAATACAAATATGTTATAGTACCATTTCCTTTAAAACTTTTTATGTTTATACTGAAATACAATGAACATCACTTTTTTGTAAAGTGCATGTAATTCCATTAATCATCATATACAAAACTCTTGTCAATCTTAGTATACCTGCAAACTGGCTTTGAATATGAAATATACTCAGTCTTTTGTATGATGCTTGATGATTATAGGTCATATAATGATTGTGATGTACATATCCTTACAAGGTTAAGCTTTGAATTTCATGCCTTGGTAGCCATGATAGACCACAATAGATAAAATATTGCTTATGATCCTACTTCTCATATATAAATAACAACATAATAAAACGTTCTTTAAATTAGTAATACATGTATTTCAATAATAATATTGTTATTATTAATTTTTTTACATGTATATATTTATATTTCTTTGCCCACATTGCATTTAAAATTCATATAAAGTTCAATACAGTATATTTGTTTTTAATTTGTAATGTTGTTACTCAAGGATTTCCACTTAAATTACATTTGTGTGTTCGATTTAATCATTGGGATCCTGACAATGATTTTATGCAATAGTTATATCAGATGATATTGCATTTATCAAGAACCAAGAAATAGAATCTGTGGTAGCAAAGATTCAAAATGTGAAGTATAGACAGTTGTTGTTGTTGTATTCTGATGGCTTTTGCATTTGATAGGTGTTGACTTTTAAACTTTGTTGTACACAATTTATTACTTTTCATTGGGACCACTCTGGTGGCCTAGTGGTTGGAGTGTCCACTTCTGATGCAGAAGGTTGTGGGATCAATCCCCAGCCAAGTCATGCCAAAATTTTTTTAAAAACTGGTACTAACAGCCTCACTTGGCCCTCAATATTAAGTGGTTAGTGTTAGGACTGGTTGGCCTGATGTTAGGATAATGTGACTGAGTTGGACATCATGCTACATGTCTGCTAGACATCACTATAAACCGCCACACTGCAGACATCATAGCAATATGACTGAAAAATTGTTAAAGCTATGTTAGAAAACTAAATCACACAAACACACACTTTTCATTGGAATACTGGAAGTTGTTTAAATAGTCTGTTGTCAACATGTACTTTTAATGTCATGTTGGTGGTCCATTCTCAGTGACAGTCATGGTGCTGCTGTCCTTGTCACAGGTGGTTACAAATGCATTTCTTTAATTCTCTCTAATAAGCTTCTTTGGACAGCACAGGTGGCAGAATGAGTGCCATGGAAGTAGCATCCTTTCTTCAAGTTGTTTTACATTTTGTGCAAAATATGCATAAAGTTCCCAAATTCAGGACAAGTTACATGCCATCGTAAAATTATATTTTGTGTATTACCTTGATATCAGAGTAATTCTCCTTGCTTAACCTGGAATCTATATGTCTGTTTATCAAACATTTCCAACAGTCATTTGATTTTAACTTGAAACTAAATGCATTTTAATATAGAATAAAGAACAACAAATAGACATATGTATCATATCTTAAAAATCAATATTTTTATTTACATTGTTGCAAATTGCAAAATTTAAGATTCACAATATGACAGCACTCAGGTATACCTTACCATGATGGAACAACTTTATATTATTGCCATATTTGGCTTACTTAAGTATGGTACTCATATATCACAGCAATATAAATTTTCCCTAGTTAAAATTGCAAATAAAACTTCCCAATAAGAAACAGGGAAATCAAGAGACAAAGTATTATGAATTAACTTTAAAAAATCCTAAAATGTCTTATCATGAATCTATAAAATAATAAAATAAAATAGAGACAAGCAGTCATACATACAATTATAGTGTTATAAAAGATATACAATTTCACAATTGAAAAGAAAATTATACAATTTTATATAATACATTGGTATTCAGGCCATTAGGATACAAAGTATCTAATTTATGAATCCAAAAAGTATCTTTAATAAGTCTGTTCATGTCTCCATGCACAATATCTATTGGCATGAAAGAAAAATCAAGTAGACAGTGATTATGGGTGTTAAAATGTGTAGAAATATTAGACGAAAACTGAGGATCTTTATAATTTTTAATATGAAAGCGATGACTATTCATTCTTTTAGAAACTTGTTGAAGTGTTTGTCCAACATATTGCATGTTACATTTTTGACAGGTTATCAAATAAATCACATTAGTTGATATGCAGTTAGTGTTATAACGTAGGGAAAATGTCTCTTTTGTGTTAGTGCTACAAAAAAAAACCTACTTTCTCTTATGTTTGCACATTGAGAACATCGATGTCTATTACATTTAGATGACGAGAATTGTCCTTTTTTATTTTTTTCTGTATGTTTAGTTCTAATTAAAAAATCTTGCAAATTCTTGGGTCTCTTATAAGCAACAATAGGCTTATTGTTGTAAAGGGATTTTACGCTGTTTTTATTTGATAAGTTTAGGAGACTCCAATATTTATTAATAATAAGACCTATATTAGGTAATGAAGGATTGTATTGTATTGTAAAAGAAACTATATTTTTTTCATTGTACAATTTGCTGTATTTAAAGCCTCAATTTTGAGTAAGATTACAGGTTTTGTTCAGCGCAGAATCAATGATATGTACTGGATAATTTCTGTTTTGGAAATATGTTTTTTAATCATTCAACGAATTTTGTAATTGACAATCATCTGAAATAATGCGTCAGTATGTTTTAGCCTGGATATATGGTATACCGTTTTTACATGACATTGGATGCCATGAAGAATATTCTACATACTGGTGGATATTAGTTTCTTTGTCATGAATATTCATAGAAATAGTGCTATCAATATGTCATTTACATCTAAAAATTAAACATGCATATTTGATGCAGTATAAGTAAATTTAATTGTCGGATGAAAATGATTTAGGCAATGAATGAATTTCTCCAGTTCTTCAGTTGAATGGTTCCAGTTCATAAATGTCATCTAAATATCTAAACCAGACTTATGGATTAAACTTTTCTTGGTTAAGGAAATCTTTTTCTAATTTACCCATGAAAAGAGAAGCATATGAAGGAGCCATATTATTTTACTGATTCAAGTTTCATTAGAGACTCGTTTATCTTTTAGATCCTATCATATATATATATATATATATATATATATATATATATATATATATATATATATATATATATATATATATATATATATAGTTGTTGTGATTATGCATTGTTTTTTATGATGTTACCTAATTATGTAATTTTTTATGAAGTTACGTAATGATGTAATTGTTATTTTAGCCTGTAAAGATGTCATCCGTTTATTTCAAAACATTTTGTGCCTGAAGAAGCATATATTATATGTGAAACTAGTTGCATGGAATTATCGGCATTTGTGTTGTTTTTTTAATCCCAATTATCATGAATCTAGAAATATAGAATGTTCCAGATGAATTCCAATAGACTTTAAAGGCCTGATATAACACTATGCAAGCCAGAATGTCCTTAAATGAGTTGACTACAATCCAAAGAAGCATACCTGTCTGAAAGTGACTGAGCTGTATTAATCCAGTCATGAATGAGCTCTTTATTATTTCCAATGAATATTTTAAATAAATAATCCCTCTCAGACTAAATTTGAGCACAAACTGATTCCTGCAGAGTGACCTACAACAGGAATTAATTATTCTTTTTATAAAATTCTTTTGTATAGACATTTTCACTTGAGCTAGATGTAAGTCCTAAGACTGCTTAGAATGTTCCAAACTCAAAGGCAATCTAATCAGCTATTAGAAAAGCTTTGTATTTTATAAATCACTAATCCCCCAACTTTATTTAATTGTACAGGTACTACTGGATAACAAGGGATGCGTTAACAATAGGCAAGGGCAAGGGATTAGTTTATTAATATTCACCCTGTAGACATTGGAATTATGTAATTATCTATTATAGGTAATAAATGAATTGCAGAGAAAAGAAATGTGGCTAGTACCCATTCACAGGTCATGTAATTCACTTTGTACATGCACAATATTAATAACTTGGATAAGATTAAGAAGACATCTTCATAATTTGGAGGGAAAAGAGGAATGGAGTAAAGATCAAATTTGCTTATATTCTAATTGTTTCATCAATCATCCATATATAAGTCAATGTGAAACATAAATGAGGGCATTTATATTGATAATCTAGCTGACATCTCAAATGTTTCAACTACTTTTTTGTTCAAATTGCTGAAAAACTTAAAGAACCCAAGACTTCATCTGATTATCTGGAACTCAAACATATTTGTGCTAAAAAATTTAAAACAATATAAAGTTTGAAATTCCAGAAATGAGTCCAGAATTTGTGTTGAAATATATTTTAAAAAATGGACTATTGTAATGTAATTTGGGGTAATACCTCTAATTCAAACATAACAACACTTTTAAGACTCCAAAAGTGGGCTTGCCATTTAATAGTAGATCGATGTATATACAATTTTCAGGATGCAATGAATAATATTTAGATTTTAACAATACATGAAAGAATATTTCTTAGAAAGACCATAAAGTATCCAGAAAATCCATTCCTGTCTGCCTAAGCAATATCTTTCACCAAAGAGATGTTGATGGTACTCCAAATTTAAGGTCCATACCAAGTTAAAAATTACTTTATACCAAGGCCAAAGAAGGGATTGTTTAAAACAAGTTTTCATTATACTAGTCTACTGGTATGGAACAACATTCCCAGTGACATAAGGCAGGCTCATAGCATTTTTGTATTTTCATAATCAGTTTCAAATGGATGAAATCTTTAGAAAATTGAAAAGTTTTAGTACATTAAATAACACCTGCTTTTCTATAATTTTGCATCATTTTCACAATTGAATTTTTCAATGCAGGATTATATTTTATAATTTATATATGTTTATGTATTCACAGATGGCTAAACATGTGTTCCATGCTGATACTTTGACTTTTAAAATCACTTAATTATTTAGTGTCAAGCCAGAATCTTCACATCATGTTGTATATACTGTATACATGTATATTGTACATAACAGCTTAAAGGTCTCAAGGTAGATTGCTTCTGAAACTAATTGAGTTACCTTCACTTAAATATAGTCTTTATTATTATTATTATTATTATTATTATTATTATTATTATTATTATTATTATTATTATTATTATTATTATCATCATATCACCATCATGAAGTAATGATGGAATGCAGGAAAGGCAGGTTTTATATCTATGTGATCAAATTGCTGATCATTCCTCTAGTTGACATGGGTAGGGGGGAAATTTTACCAATTAAAATTAAATGTCATTGATTTTATGCCTTTACCATGATATTTAAAAAAATATTTTGATGTAAAAGATATTTTTTTCAGACTTTTTTCTGTGATAAGCAAAGAAGTGTGGCCCTGATCAGTTCAAGATGTCTCGTGCACAAGCTGAAAGTGTTATCAAAAACATCATCCGTGAGATTGCCCAAGAATGTGCCAGTAAAGGGCAAGCAGTCTCTGAGACACTAGTGGCATTCATGGTAAACTTTGGAAGTTGGACTAATACATTTAAACCTGTCTTGAAAGACCATCTGTCTTGAGATACAGGATTCTCAATGCACAGATTTATTGATTATATAGTTATAACCTGTCATGAGAGAACCATGTGTTGAAAGATCACACTTTATTGGCCGAAAGCAAGGGTAGGGATGGTCCTTTTAAGACAAGTTAAGCTGTATTGACATTTATTTTATATTTTACCTTAGATCAAACTGTAAATAAAACTTTGAAATGAATTGTGTTACATTTAAGAAGGGAACTATGGTAAATCATTTCAAAAGTATCTGATAAAATACTGGTGATCATGAAATTCTTTTTC